GGTGGGCTCATTTATAATAATACAAAAGTCCTTCAGGAAATCAAAAGGGAGGAAGTTGCGAAATACCCTTTGCACAGTGAAGAAGTTGGAGCTTATGTGGTAAAATGCCCCTAAAAGATGTTGGTAGAGTGGAAAACCCCTCTGAATTTCCTCTCCCCTTTGAAAATTTTGGACCATTTCGGGATTTCTGACTGTCATCCTTGCACAGGGGCGTTCATGTGAAATTCCATTAGTTTGTGAAATGCCCTTTCGCTTGAATTAAACTGTTGGCGCGGGGTTGCTGTGTTTGTGCTATACACCTGTCAGGGGCAGAATGCACCTCCACCTGACAGGGGTAGATCGAAAAGATTTAAATCCAAAAGGGCATTTCAAAAGCTTTGGAAAATTTTCCTTTGAAATTTCAGAGGGGTGTTGCCATCTTCCCACATCTTTTGGGGGGTATTTCAGCATATAGATTTTCCTAAGAAGTAAATACAGGTATGAAATTCAATGAATAGGAAGAATACAAGACGAAAAAGGAAAATCGGGAGCATAGATTGCGTGCTGATCTTTTGGCGGAAAACGAAAATATTCCTGGCGGAGAATTCCATTTATTCTTCTACTAGCTGGGCGTTCAAGCACAAGCGAGTACACAGGCTAAGTGTGTCTGTTCGTTATAAAAACGTTGAGAGACAGTAGCCCCATGAGATCGAGAACCAGCCAGCGCAAACACAAAAAAACGCCCATACCAATTGGTGGGAAGAGCAAAGCATACACTCCAAGGGAACCAACAACTCGTGCTAAGCACAGACGCACTCCAATCATGACAGTTTGTGGGGGAACACGCAAACACGTTGATACAGGAGAACAATGCACCGATTTCAAGAAGGCTAAAATATGCAGGAATTCATTGGAAAAGACGATTCATCCTTGCGAGCAGAGATCATATTGACGCTAATATCGCACTTCGTGCCTCAACGGTCGAGATACTCCTGTGGGTGTAGACTCGCACTCTGAAGACGTGCGTCACACACGAACACATGGAGCAAGCGAGAGAGCAAGCCAGCAAGCCAACAAAAATGAACACAGAGAGAGAGAGAGAGAGAGAGAGAGAGAGAGAGAGAGAGAGAGCACTAAGTAGCCTGCCTTGTTGTTCGCTACGCCTGTCTACTTCATCTATACGCAACAGTTCTCGCACTCATCTTGGGGTCTTCCCCAGCACCGTATTCTTTTGCAGGTTTAGAAATTACATGACGTGGAAACTCGATCGCCTGCCAGACATTAAATACGTACTATATATAATTATAATAATCGTTGAGTGACCAGTTCCACAACTGGGTAGGTTTCCTATTGAGCTCCATCAGCAAAGTGTTGTTGTACACACACACGTCCGATCGCCTGCGTCGGTGACGCGCCCCGGACAATACAATGCAGCTGCGGACCAATAGATTAATCCACTCATCTCCAAGCTGAGCCCCTCCCGATCGCTCATTCTGCTTCTCTCCAAGTAGCTTGCTGATGTCGAACGACCGCCCCCCCCTGTTGTTGACGCCTGGTTAAATCAGCTTAGGCCATGCTCACATTTTCTTGAACTGGATCTCGCTGCATTTACCGCCAGATGCTCCAGAAACGCTTTTATACGAGTATGCCCTTAGCACTTCTTCCAGAGCAGACTATAACGGTTACCCTGACTGGTGACGGTGATCAAGCCCTTGTTGTTCTTATTCGGCCTGGATGGAGGCAGTACACTTGCCTCGAAATTGAACCCGAGCGTCACCGACTGTCTGCCACACGGTGCATAGACAGGGGTTGCGAAGCTGTCGGAGAGCTCGAAGTTGCCTTCGACGGGAGGAGGCAAGCTGCGCGAGAATCTGGCTGTCCCTGGGATACTCGAGAAGTAGTACGCGGCTGCCAGTGAACCCGTGACGCCTTCCTCGAACTGGGCGTACCCTCGGAATGTCGCAGTCGTCACACTAAACGTGAACCCAGCAGGATATCTCACGGTGACGCTCACTTGGCAGTTTTTCCGCAGGTCAGCTTTACGTCCTGGGGTGAACACCGTGAACTCCGGTAAAACCAAACTGAAAACTCCGTCGTCGGAGAGTGCGCCCTCTGCACTTCCAGGCGGACAGCCAGAGCCACTATAGCTGAAGCTCTCGACCCTTACCGTACCAGATGGCGGAGTTTGAGCAAGTCCACGAACGGCAAGCTGGAGAAGCGCCAGCAACAGCAGGACCACCATCGCCGCCATCGTAGACACGGACTGGAAAACCGTGTGCCTGATCCTCTTCGTCTTCGCCTTTCGTCTCACCTTGCTCCTGTCTCCGCGCGCCCAGCACAGATGAGCTCTTCCGGCGATGGCAGCAGATACCGCCCTCCCCAATTCGCCGCTCCCGGAGCTGTTCGCCTGGAGTCGCCCGTTGAGCTCCCTCTCCTCGGCTCAAATGCCGTGGAAGAAAAGATAGCCGACGCCACTTCTCGGAGCTCCCGCCCACGATCAGTACGCAGATCGCAGCGCAGTGTACGCAGAGTGCCCGTTCATGCGCCTTTATACAGAGCCGGAGGTGAAGTCTGCCTGTGTCCCCCCAGCACGGCGCATCAACATCACAAAAAAGCAGCTCACAGGCGTACCCTCTGGCAGTGTGGAGAGGACGTGCGGATCAAATAAAGATAATGCTATAAAGCTGCAACGAGACCTCTATTTTTGCAAAGGAAAATTCGAGCGGACGACATTTTTGCTGCCAAACTTCGAAAATCAAACAGCAATATTTTTGAAATTAACCCCATGCGGATCAAATAAATTAACCGGAAGATAAACTGGAAAGCCGGCCGAACGCCACGCGTCAAGTGTCGAAAGGAGAGAAAGAAGGAAGGTTGCACCTCGCTCCACTACTCTCGACATGCACGAGAGACAAAAATCATGGCGGTGTATCGCTCCAAGCTGCAGAGGAAGACTCCCTCTTGTTTTGCGCATTTCGAGAGTACCGTCTTCCCCCGAACACAACGCACCCTCATTTTGGCTGTAACTGGCCGGAAATACAGCTTGTATACATTCATTTTTAGAGTGCGCTATGTTCGGGAGGAGAAGGCAGTGGACCCTTTGGAATGCCATCTTATAGTTTTTCCATCCACTTGCAGATCATGCACCTGCCCTTTTTTGTCTCGCTGTAGGAAAAATACTCCTTCGCGGCAGGGAACATACTCTCCTCAAAGCGACAAGCACGTGAGGAGATCTCGTCTTACCGTTTTTCCATCCACTTGCAGATTTTTTTTTTTTTTTGGGACAGTTGTAATATATTGCAACAATTTAAGGGACGAGGCCGGGGACATCACAATTCGACAACAAAAATTTAAGGGACGAGGCCGGGGACGAAGCCTCAGCCAGTTTAGCTCATAAAATCGTTGGGCTTCCAAGAATTTGCCATTTTTCTATAAAAAAAAAAAAAAAAAAAGTCGACCTCCTGCTGGAAACCGGGTCCAGCGTCCCTGTAAACCTCTACCTTTCCAAAAATAAACTTTAAGGCTCATTAAAAGGGAAGCCACTCCTTCGCGGCAGGGAAGATACTTCTCCGCAAAGCGACAAGCACGTGAGAGTTTTTTTTTTTTTTTTTCATTTTCGTTTTCGATATTATCGAAATGACCCTTTGAAATCCGTTTATTTCCGGCATGCTTCTCCGACGGCCGACTTAACATCCCGTTCTCCTCTGCGATGATCCGTCGTCGGTTGGACCTGAAATTGTTCAAAATGCCTCTACTGCCACTGGTACCGGTTCCAACCGGATTGCCGTTGAGTGCAAGGCGAAAAAAATCCATATGCCCGTACCCTACCTTGCAACTATCCAGTATGCGCTTGTGCCCGTACATCTTTCCAGTATGCCACCTGCGACCGTTGGTCGCACTCACGGCTGTCCCTTGGCCCTGGGAGGATTTTTTTTTTTTTTTTTTTTTTTTTTTTTTTTTTTTTTTTTTTTTTT